GGGGGGGATTAAACTGCTTTCAAACTATGTATGATCATTTAAGAATTGTACATGCTTATTTTCATCCTCATCATCAGAGCTGTAACACATCAAAAGATGCCTAAACATTAATATTACTTACTTTGAGACATGCCACCCTTCCACCTCTGGACAGCTGACGAGTGGGCTAGACAATAACTTAAAACAGCTGGTTTTAAGTTATTGTTATTGGTGCTATTGAATGTCCAATGTTAGATCCACTTCAAAGAAAGTTTCACTAATATCAGCCAACAGCAGCGCTTACTAACAAACGTTCAGGATACCATCAAAAGCAGAAGTGAGCTTCTGCGACTTGTATTAGTTTTCACGCATTTCACCTGGCATTGCCAGCTGAGGTAAACAGCCGACTAACAGCCTGCATTTACAACAGATAAACTACCAAAACTACCACAGTGTGTTTTTCCCTACAGCAGCCACTGTAACTAGGATTATGCAATTAAATTGGAAGGGGTAAGAAACCAGAATTCAGTTGGCTGCAATCGAAAGGTGCTGAGATTTTACACATTGTACCTTCAACATAGCTCTTGGCTGTTACTTTGGAGCATTATAAAAATGTTCACCAGACCTTAAAATCTGCACGTATGGAATCACAAGTAAAATATGCTAAAATCAGCTTTAAAAGTTTGATTTTAGTTGCCCCCCAAAAAGCTTTTTTTCCCTTCTACTATTAAAAAAACATACAATCAAACAAAGAAAAAAAAAAAAAAACACATGGAAAAATTCAACAAAAAAAAAAAAAAAAAAAAAAAAAAAAAAAAACCAGGACAAGATACAAAATAACAGAGAAGAAAATTTGCAGTTTATTAATATAGTCCGAAAGAAGTTCCATAATCCATGGAAACATTTTTTTTTTCGGTGCATGTCTTTAACAATCACATTCTATGAGGAGAAAAAAAGAACAACATTAAAAGCCACAACTTTGTATTTCAGTTACAGACAATTTTACTTTTTTTTTTTTCTTCAAAGTAAAGAGAAAGGCAAAGGCAAAGTACCCCCACTCCCACAACCCACCCGCCGTCCTCCCCTTAAAAAAAACAGACAGCCTTAAAAGTAACGGGCTTCTTTTTGTTTTTTCCTCAGTACAACCCACAGTGCTTTAGCAGAAGGATAAGCGCTCATTGGTTAAGGATTACACAGCATGACGACGCAATGTAAAATTTTGCTAAAACATTAGATGACAATGGGTGGGATGGGAGTGGAAGAAATTTCAGCAAAAAACACACACAAAAAAATGAAAACCCTCCATCAAACCCTGAACCCCAGAGTCTGAGTCGACAAACGCCCGCAGTACAGCAGCAGGGTTTGGACTCCTCCCTCCCACTTGTGCATAGATCATGATCCATTTAAAAACCAGCTTTATTCTTCCTCTTCAACATGCCTCTGAAAACCATCTGTTACATGTTAAGAAATCTCTCAGCTATTGAATACCTGTCACAGGAACTGACATGTTAACAGGCAGGAGAGATGATTTTAAAACAAACAAACAAAGAGTGTCTTGCACGTGCTCCTGAACTACAGGATGGAAACTCAAAGTCAAAACATACAAATGCATTTTCCTGTCACTGTCATGACAATCAAACCACTGATCGTGTTTAAATGTAAAGCAATTTCTACTTCAAATTTCACATGTAAAGCGCTCCACTTTTCTCAAAGTTGATTCTTAGTCTTATTTGGTAAATATGTAACTTGCTACGAACATTTTTTGTTGTTTTAAAGAAACAATGGTACTCTCTATATTCTGTTAAACTCATAAACTTCAGTGCTTTCTTGGAGTTTAATAGTTCTCAGTTGCTTATTTTCACACGAACATCAAACCTAGAAATGATGGAGTTGGTATCTGGAACCCTGGCCTTCCTGAGACAAAATCCACATCTTTTTTTTATTTTTTTTTTATGAGTGTGCAAGATAGTGAGTAAACTGCGTTGCAGTATTACAGAAAACATAAAATCACCATGTAACACATACAGAGACAGTCCATCGATACTAAAAGAGAAATTAAAAATTGAAATATGACAACACTGATCAATCCCAGAGTTCTGAAAGTAGCATAAATCTTCATTTTGCAAGATTTTCATGTCCATATTTGATGGAAGATGAAATTTGTCCTTAAAAACAAAAAACGAAACCAAAAAACATTCCTGTTTCCTTGAACTCAGATAAATGAAATGCTTTGTAAACGACAGGTGGCTTTTGCAAAATAAAAAAAGAAAAGATAGGCACCTCTGAAATGAGTCTTATAACAAACTCACCTCCCACACTTTATCCCTTTCCGTCTCTCCATGAAGTTAAAATCGGGATTACTAGTCCTTCTACAGCTATCTATGGCCACAGTTCTTTGTTTTGTTTTTTTTCGTTACTCTTTTTTTTTTTCCTTTTATCATTTTTTTTTTGCACATTTTTCTTTTTTAATTTTTTTTTTTTTCCTATTTTCTTTTTTATATAATTGGAACAAAATGGTGCAATACTCAAGATAATCCTTGTATTGGATTATTCCACAATAAAAGCCACTATAAGGTAGATAAACTTTTTACAGAATGGAAAAACAAAGTCCTTGAGTAAACATGTACACATGAATTGTCACCATCGCCCCTCCGTACTTAGACTCGTTTAACTACGATTAGCTGAGTGAGGGGTAGAAGACACTCAGTGCAACGTTAGAAGATAACAACGTCTATCAGAATAGTTTTTGACAGATCATCAACAATAACAACAACGAAAAAAAGAAGATATAAACAGACACAAAATATAACGTACTGAGTGGAACATAACAGCAGGCCACGTGCCCTGTACACAGTTTCTTGAGCACACATTCATACAAACATCTGACTTTCAAGCACACATCTAAGATGACTTTGTTTTTTTCAAAGATTTTGTATTTGTAACTTAATGCAATACACATCTGATGTTCTCTAAAAGCCCCTAAGTGTACCTGTCAGATGGAAAGAACAAAAAAATAATAATTACTGACTTCACATTATGTTGTTGGCGTTCAATGATTCAAGTATTTCTGTTCAATGTTTTGTTTTGTTTTGATATGTTTGTGATTTCTTTTTTTTTTTTTTTTTAAATCAACTGGGTAAAATATGCATTAAACCAGGTGATTCAGGTTGGGCTTTTAGGCAGCCTAATTAACAAACAAATAACACACATATACAGTACAAACACTTCATAGTACTGTAATATGTCATCAAAACCAGAACGTGCATATCTGACTCCGTACAAGAAAGACTTTGCTTTCGATCAGTCAAGTATCAGTTTATACCCGACCCAAATTCTTTCCTTTGTCTCACTTATTTGCGGGGAAAATACATATTGCTCATTTTCAGCTGTGTTAAACCAAGACCTTTCAAACTAAAATGAAAGTTTCAGAGGTTACGATCCAAGAAGTCTGAAGAGGTGATACCACACACCGTACTCACAGTATATATATATAGATATATATATTTATATGTAGTGTATACATATACTGCTATCTAGAACAGAGCTGTAGAGAGGAGAGCCTCTCGATGCTGGTGCAGCATGGGAAACCCCCTTCACTGTCAGGGTTCTCCAGTTAGTACAGGATGCTGGGAGGTCCTCGGCTATTGGGTCTGTCTGAGCTTGGATCAAGGCAGTTACAGAAACAGGCAATAGTGATTTTTGCTTGTGTGCTGCAGGACTGAAAGTCCTGAAAGGTAGCCTTTTCCCGTTTTCTTATTTTTATTTTTTTTTTAATATATATTTTTTAAGCTTTTTTTTTTGTTTTTTTGTTTCATTTTTAAGACTTTGTACCTCTTGAAATGTGCCTCTCTGCTCCTGCTGATGCAGAATCAGAGAGTGAGGCTGATACAGTGGGCCCAAGCCACCTGGGTCTGTGGAAATGTACAGTTCAGTGGGCCTGCTTTGAGCAGGGCACAAACGTAAAACAAGATAAATACAGCATCCACAAAAAAAAGGCACCCCAGCCACCGCTCTGCTCCTTTAGATGTTGGTAGCAGAGGCTGATGACCAGAGACGTTTCAGCTAGAAGTGCAGAGCTTTTAACATATTATAGATCTTTTTTTTTTCTCCATTTAGATTTTTTAGCATTTTTAAGATTTTTATGTCAAACTTCATAAAAATGACGTTAAAATGCAATTTCATTTTTGGTTTTAAAAAAATATGTACCCGGGATTACCCATCATCAACTGTGCACTGTAGCAAACCGGAACCCCCAACTGAGTAAAGATTTTCTCCTTAGCTTGGGGCATTCCCCACAAAAGCATAAAAAAAAATCTCAGTCGCTTCAGGGTGTGATGCTGCCGCCCTTTTGTTTGATCCCTCCTGTCCCCCCCTACACCCTCTGCAAAGGTCATCAAAGCTCCTCCAAACAGGGAACAGAAGTGCTCTCTATAAATATACAGTATGACACAGCAAATTTATATTGGCACAATACATTGGCATCTTTTTACATGCAATAATGTCTCCCCAAACAATAACAAGAGGCCATCTTTTTGGGAAGAGGATTCAATGCGAGCCTCTTCCCCCCTACAATAAGGATTCAGTTTCGAGGCATGAGGTCTGTACGTCCTGCTGCGTGCAGATGGCCTTCGAAGTTTTAGACTTTGCTCTCACAGTAGAAAGGACAGATACGGAGAGCTGCATCTCATACTTTGTATCATCAACTCCCCTACCCTGAGATCAAGCTGGACAGAAGAGTCTTCAGCTCAGAGAGAAAGGCCGACCTTTTGATAAAGTGTTCTAACTTTTAGATACATGACAGTGTTCTGGTGGCTGAGCCTGACTTTACAGAAACTGCGGCCAGTTTGAAGTGCTGACAGGAGCGCGTGGGGGACAATTGTTAGGATATGCCAAGCTCTGGGAGGAGTGCTCATTCCCAAGACAGCTTTGGCGTGCTGTAAAGGGCCCCAGCCTCTCGTCTTTTTGCATAGAAACAGATATGAGGGCCTGTAGGTGCCTGGTCAGGGGAGGGCTACTGGGTCTTCTTGTGGTGGAGGAGGAGAGGAGGTCATAGCATAGCAGCTAGGCAAAGGGCAAGGGGGGACAGCCTGCGGGCAGGTGGAGCAGCTTGGAGCGGCAAACACCCACATCCCCGTCTGAGACACCTTTTTTTTTTCTTACACATCTCAAGATACTACCTGGAAGTACTACAGAATACTGTCAAACGAAGAAAGCATGATCAGTTAAAAACAAATAGACAATCATTAACGGTCTGTAGTATTGATCCTCATTTTGCATTCAATACACAGGATGAACATACAGAGGCACCTCTGACCAAAGTGTTTCTGCATATGAACAGTGAAGGGCTAGTTCAGCAGCCAGTACTTTGTAGACCACTGCATGTAGATAAAAATAACAATATAACACACTGGAAAAAAAAAAAAAAGTCAAATGATCTTTTCCAAAAAATACAAAGTACACTGGCAAAAATTCCAGAAATATGACTATTACATCTTCCAGCTAAAGTGATCTTTGTGTCAAAGAACTGAGAGATGGGAGGTGGGGGAGAGGGCAGGATGACAGCAGGGTCGAGTGGTAGTGGGCCCCTGTTGGAGATGCCGTATGTGCGGCAGAGAGCCGTGATTGGCCAGTCCCGGAGGATCTGTTTTTCACGCCAGACTGAGAGACGGTCAAGTGGAGCCCAGGAGGAAGTGCTGCGCTGTGGGGCTGCCGCTCGACATCCAGAGGACCACAGCAAAGAGGCACTCAGTGGACACTCCCCCACCTCACCCCACTCTGACTCAACCACCGACTGACCGGATTGGCTGTCCAGCGGGTGTCAGAGACCACTGACACTGCAAAGTCTAGAGCCTCCAAAGAGAGCAAGGATAACAATTTTTGGAGTAACAGTGATAATCACGTTGATATAGTTCAAAGAAGGGGAAAAAAACCAAGAGTGAAGTTTTTTCCCCCCAAAAGTCCAATGGTACAGTTCAGTTTTGTTTCCCTTCAGCCTGCTACCAGAGGAACAACGCCAGACACGTTTCCATGGAATAGATACAGTACATAAAAGAGCAGTACTTTTTTTGTGTTGTTTTCATCGTTTTTGCTGCTCCTTTTTGATTTATTGGATTGCAGTTGAAGCGACTTGCTCTTCATAAGTGCTATGATAAAACCCTTAGAACTCAAAAAAAATCTTAGTCTCTTCTGTTTGTACAGTACCAAACGCAAGGAACACTCGTAGGTCTACTGCATTAGGAGAAACCCCTCTTATTTGGTATTGTGCCAGATGCCCAGAACCATCCAATCCCGCTGTGGTTTCAGTCTCTGTTGGGTGTGGCTGTGGCACGCAGAGAGGAAGTGTGCATTGTTGTGTACCCCAGTGTCACTTTTTAGTACAATTTGCTGCATACACAGTTCAACAGCTGCTTCTTCCTCTTTGCAGAATTTTCCCAACAGTTTCAAGGGGACTGGTGGTCTGGAGGGAATCCAAGTTTTGAAAAATGGGGGTAAGGTGGGTTTTTTTTGTTTTTTTTTTGAAGTTCCAAAGTCTTTTTGCTGAAATCAGCAACATTCAAAACATAAAAGACAAACAAGAAAACAAAAATATTAGACAAACCAGCTCCGGTGGACATCGACTGTGGACGGAAGAAAGGTCTATGGTGTATATTGCACAATGTAACTGTCACTTGAAAGTAGAATTGAGGTTTTTTTCCTCCGAAAATTGGCCGACCATAAAGGCCGCTGGGCTTCATAACAAATCTGTCATTAGAAAATTCGACAAAGCACCAGAAAGCAACTGGGTTCCGATTTTAAAGGTGACCAGAAGGATCCGGGCTCACAGAGGTCAATGATTAGGTGCCACCGGACATACATATTCATAAGGAAATGGACAAACGCAGCAAGGCTGACAAATAATCTTCTCTCAGCTTATTCGTTGTGATGGGTGTCAAAACTTTTGCTTGGATTTAGGCCTACCAAAGAAACAAAACAAAAACAACAAAAAAACAACCATGTCAATCCCTTTAAGACAAATTAAAATAATACGTAGATGATTGGTAGTGCCAGTCACGTGGCGTGGCCAGGCCTTCTTACTGCCCGGCGACAAAGTCAGTCACCAGTTGTGTCCTGTACCGCTCGCTGGCTCAGAGGTGAAACTGTGCAAGATTTCAGCTTTTTCTTCAGTTACAAAACAAAAAAAAGAACACAAAACAAAGACGGCTTGGGAAGGACCTGGGCCAGAGAGCACTTAAGGCTAATATTAGTGCTGAGAAACAAACATTAACATAACTAGTAAAGGTCTTTGAACAACATCATTGGCCATGGATATGCTGGGAATGGTTGTTGTAAGTCTTATTTTGGGATGATTTTTTTTATTTGTTTTTAGGAGGGAAAAGGAAAGTCTCAGATGGCAGCTTTGATTGCTTCTCCTAAAAAGAAATCCTCCCACAGAATGCCATGAATACTTATGGAAAAACTAATAAAACAGTTAAAAGGTTTCTTTGTGTTGTGTCTCACTTCAGTTTTTTTTTTTTAATATAATGCATTTTAAAAAATACCAAGAGGACAAAAAGGGCTGTTTTCCCTCAAAAACAAAACAAAAAACGGCAAACCAAATGAGAAAGGGACCAAAGTAAAACAAAAGGACTGGGGTCTGCAGTCTGTGGTAATGACCCCAACCTTCTGATTTACAATTCACAGTTCAAACAGTTCAAATTGATACTGATTATCACCACATGATTTGCTTGGGTTTTGCTCCTGTTCACATTGATTTTTTTTTTTTTTTTCTTAATCCACCCCACCCTCCACCAATGGCTTACATGACATGGTGGCGGTGAGTTAGTTGGTTGGTTGGTTAGTGTGTTGTGGCATCATCCTACATGGACTCCCCACTCAGCAGATCGCCAGGCAGCAGGGTGTTAATAGGGGTGGGGCTCCCAATCACGCGTGCGTCCTCTCCACTGGGCGGACCCCACAGGCTGGAGTACTGAGGCACACCGCCCCACAGCAGGTCGCCTCCGCTGGCCTTGCCTCCGCCGGTGCTGCTGCTCCACTGGCCAATTGAGTGGGACTGCGCTGCCCCGCCCATTCGGTTTTGATTGGTTCCCGGGTTGGCCTGCCAGCTCGTGGTGTTTGCCCCCAGCGACTGGCCTTGTGCAAAAAAGCGGTTCACTTCCTCCTCGCCAGCAAACTCCGCCAGGATTGTGGTATTTCCGAGCACGCACCTTAACGCACAGAAGAAGAAGAAAAAAAATTATGAATGGTTTTTACGATCAGGAGCAAACCAGACATGACAGATGATTGCTTTTAATGTTATTCAATTGTTTTTGTGCTTAATGCCAACATTACACTGTAACCACATTTAATGCTGCTGATAATGAAAAGTGGGTCACAAGGCTTGTATTTTGTTTCCATGGCAACAAACTATTAGCTAAACCGAATCAGGGAACTCTCATGAGACTCACAGAAATAACAACGCGAGCGTGCAGCCTAAACACGTGTCTCCACACTGCTCTTTTCCCATGATGAACTAATTATCACAACAATCTCTGTAATTTTGCAATACATCTGACCACGGTGTGACTCCCCACCCCCATGTGACTGTCCCAGACACAAAAATAACATTGCTTGGAATTATTGAGAATGTTGAACTGTTCTATTCATGAGAAAAGATACTAAAGAAATCAGGAACACTGTGTTTTCCCCAAGCATTTGTCATTTTTTTCACCGTTATATTGCCTCAGTAAAAAGTGCCCTTTCCCACCATTTTTAAGTCCACTTTTGCTGATGTAAGAGACTTGTGCTAACGCTTACATGTGCAGGGACTTCTGGGCCTTGGCAGCCTCGTCCTTGGAGCTGTAGCGCACCACAGCATTCCCCTGGGTCAGGTTGAGATGGAATGTGATCAAGGGGCCGTGCTGCATACACAGGGTCCGCAGAGTTGAACCATCAATCTGCAGCAAAGAACAAGACATTAGCACACCAGAGTTGCAGTCACAACTATCTTACCATTTTATCTCAAACACAGTCTACCTTCTGTTTTTATTCCTTTTGCTTTGTTTCTTTTGTCATTGCAACTATATAAAAGGTTACACCAGCAGAAATCTACAACTGCAGATTCAAATTTGAGCGGACTAAACTCGAATTCCTTATAATGGCCCAAGGTATCAGTGAAAAACTAGCAAAAAAAAAAAAAAAAAAAAAAAGGAAAGAAAAAGAAAAAAAGAAAAGCATACGCACTTGTGGGGTGAGATTCCTCAGCACCAGCCAGCTGCTGGTTCTGTTGGAGCTGTCTGTACTCCATGTGGTTCCCTCTGTAACACGGATGCAGACAGAGTTAAAAATTAAGAGTTTTCTTGGAATAATGATTTGCAGAAATACTTTCATTACAAGTTATTTGACTCAATGTCAAAACTGAATCTTGGTCAGGCACAGGCACGCATTGCAAGAAGCCTAGATGGCTTCTTTCTAAAGAAAGATAAAGTGAGTGTGTATCAATGTGACAGTGCCCTTCTAACAGAAAGAGAAAAAGAGCTGTATTCAACATACAACACTCTCTGATATTATGAGACTTTTTCCAGAGCCCTGAGACTCTGGGCCTTGAAGTCTAAGAGCTCAACTACTAAGGAAAACATGACACCAGTTGCTATCTATTCCACACGCTAAATTTATTTCCTCTTTGCTGCATAAAGTATAGATCTGTCATGTCAAAACGAGGTCACGCGAAAGCTGGTAAACCTCAAGATGTCAGTTTGGCAGGGTGTGTTCAGGCAACCTTTACAATACCAAGAGTTGGGTTGTGCTAAGTCGCAGCTGTGAACACCACACCTATGCATAGGCAACCATGTCTGTGGCTTGCGTGTAATACATCATAGAGATGTATTCGCCTGTATTCGTGGTCACGGCAATCTGCTCAAATGTCCTGATTTGTCCTCTGTAAATTACAGGCACTAAGCTCAGCAATTTCAAAGATTGTTAGAAGCAACCTGATATTTATTTGTTCATGAAGTAAATAGCCAATATTGCAGTTATGATGATGATACACTGTTCTTTAAAAAAGCAGTTTAACCCACATGATGATCGTTAACTAAAGCTCAAATGAAAATGAAAACTAAAACTGGGCATTAAAAACCATTTTAGCCACCTGAAATAAATATAAATGAGACTTCAGAAAAAAAAGAAAATAAGAAAATTACTTGTAAAGTGTGTCATTAAAAAATAAAAAAGGAATAATGTCTTTACTTTATGTTACTATAATCAAATTTATAAACGCAACCAGTCTGAGCAGGCTTTGGGGAATCTGGTTATTGAGACTGTCTACATGACTGTGTTTGTATAGCTTGAAAAGAAACATCATATCGTTATAAACTTTCTAAATCACACAATCTGACTCTTCCTCGTGTAGTAAAAACAAAACTAAAACTAACACCGAATAAAAACTAAACTAAAACTAGACACAATAGATACTGAAATGAGAAATCTCACTCAGGAAACTCATTGAGACTAAAGTCAATTCAAAACAGAACGGCACAAAATAAAAACAAGAACTGAAGAAAAATGTAAAGTGGAGTAATCACACACCTGAAGTGCCTGAATCACACACTAAACTGTCAATACTGGTGTTTTTTTCTCTTTTTCCAATAGTATGCTTATTTTCAATGAAAACTCAGTGATGACGTATCAGATAGTTTCACATCACTATTTCTGATAAAAAGAAATTGAGTGCTCACCAGAGGAGTATGAGCCACTCCAGCCTTGAGACAGACCCAGCGAATTGCCTCCCCAGGTAGAGGAGGGCTTGGTGTTAGTGAGGCCTGGCGGAGGCCGTGATGGGGCTGTGGTGCTGCGTGGCCCCTGTGGGACTTTCCAAAGCTCGTGGGACAGAGAAGCTTGGCTCTGAGAGATGGGCCCTGGGGACCAAGTGGATTTCATGTCAGACAGTTTACCTGTACATGGAGAGCAGAAACAGAGAAAGAGAAAGAGGATACTGTTAAAAAACGTTTATTTTTTTATATGTAATATGACTGTTCAACTGGATCATCTGGAACTTCTTTATAGTAGCTTCAAAATGTGGAAATGAACAGCAAAACAAGCCACAAACCCACCTGTCTTCAATTACACCATACTTTGCAAAAATGTCTACAAATAAAAACTTCAAATATCCTTTTTTAAGATTCATGAACACATAGGGTGTGTACCAATGTCACGACCAGTTAGGTGAGGCTTGTTTTCTTTTGTGGGTTTGGTCAAAGAGTTTTGGTAAAGGATGTTTAAGGCGCTGAAGGAACAGGTTTTTAGGTGTGACTGAGGTAAGGACATGTATAAATAAAGTTCAGAGGTTAAGTAAGGTTGAAGATAAGGAGAATTTCTCCATTTGGGCAAGGAAAGGTCAGCAGGTCCACACATGAGTGGGAATACGTGGGATGTGTACCTGAGGCATCTCCATCACAGGACGACAGACTGAAAGATCTAGAGTAGCCACTGACGGGCCAGTCGCTGCTGATTGGAGGCAAAGAGCCATTCTGAAGTGGAGAAGCTCTGGCTATATGGTTGTAGAGAACAGTGTGGTGAGCAGACACAAACCCCCAAAAAGGTTAATTTCATATATGCTGTGCAGCATGATGGTGGGGGTCTGTGGTGAAGCAGATATGGTAGCATGGATAGGCTTGTGGAAGTGGTTACTAACGTATATTCATCTAACTTTACAAAGCGCGACTTTTCGGTGGGGCTATCGGTCATACTGATATTTGGGCCCTTGTCTGTTGTCATACCTCCATTCCTGTCTCGCAGCAGGTAACGGTTGACGTCGTGGATGTTGGTGTTGATGGTGGGACCGCTGGGGACGCTGCCAGGGGTCATATTGGGGTCATTCTCGGGGTCGATGTTCTGAAGGCCTTTCCATGGCACCCCTGGGCAGAACTCTAAAACACACGCACACAATAAAGGACTGCTAAAACTTCAAGGTTAGATGTACACAAAGGTGTGAAGCGAGGTGTTACGCTGAATTATACTTGGTGCACTGCAACTGCAGCAACTGGGGTGCGTGAGATGAATTGCAAGAGGGCTTGCAGATAGAGGTCCACCTTGGACAGGCTAAGTTTAGCAGTAATACTGTTTAGCCTACGTTATATAAGAGCTGCCATGTAAATGTGCAAAATGGTATTGTGGTGAACCAACCTGATCTAATGCTATGCTTCGTATTTAAATCTTCCTCTGAATTTTGTAGACTGAATAGCTGCTTCCTTAGCAGCAGCCTTAATTGATGCAATTAAGCAATTACGACATAAGAAAAGTACTGTTTGTATTTTATTAGTCCAGTGAGATTGTACTGCGTTCTAGATAAACACCCGACACGTTCATAAATGCCTTTGTATCCAAAGATTCAGAGACTTTTTCACGCAATTTAAAGAAAAACACCTGTCTGTTCTACACCTTTATACCTCTGCATCTCATTCTCACCTGGGGGCCAGTTAATGTTGGTCCCATTGGAGATCTTTTCACTGGGACTCTTGCCCTGGCCCCAGTCAGGGGGCACGAGGGGGCTGGTGGGAGACTCAGAGCTGGAGATTAGATTGTAAGGGCTGTATGAGTCCTCCAGCTGAGGAGGCTTCCCAGGAGGGACCAGGGTAGAGGCAGCAGATATGGCACCTGAAACACACAAGGAAAAAGTAAGAAAGTCACCTGAACCTAGTCCAACTTAGTAGGAAAATATACACATTTTTGCAAGTATTAATATTATAAATGCACATTTAACACCACCCTAAAAAGGGTGTCTACATTAAGTCTATTTTTAAGTCTACTGATGCTCCTATTGAGCTTCAGTAGACATAAGATTAAGATCTTCAATAAACATTTCCATAGTGGGAGAAAAAAGATGAAACTATGAGCTAAGAATAACTGTTTGCAGTCCACAGATTGTTATCTACGTATAAGCTGGAAAACAGATCATGTGTATGAAATGCAGAACCTGACGAAATCTTAAATGCTAAAATGAAAGTAATGCAGTAGTTGACAAGTCTGCGTCAGTTAACTAGTTTCTCAAAACATTACAGAAATTGTTTTTATGGAAAGTAACTGACATAATTGCTGAGTGCTTCGTGTACTTCAGTGGTTTCAAACTGACACAAATATAAGACTGCATTTGTCTTCTCGAAAATCACAGAAATGTCACAATTATATTCAAGGATGTGACTGCAACACCTGTCATTGTTATTGGGTGGAATTATGACACCTCAGACTCAGGGATTCTTAATGAGCTTGCAAACAGAACGTGCGAAAAAAACAAACGCACAGTCGAAAGTCTTGCATGATACAAGTGGCAAAAAGCTACTGTCAGTTGTTGAGTTACTCATTGGGAAACAAGTCAACGAGTCCTAAGTGTGTTAGGAGGTGTGGCGTTTGCAATAGTGCCTTATAATCACTCCTCAACAAGTGAAGCATGTCTGCACAAAAATCTCAAGATTATTTTTAAAAAGGCGTTGGAAAGTATTTATGCAAAAAAACAACTTAACATTAAATGTCAGGCTGGTTTCATCTAACAATTTTCTCAAAGCCTCTGCATTATGTGAGCATGCTTGTCTGTGTTATTGTGCAAAGTACCGTGCTTATTGAGGTTGTTCTCCAGATTTGAAGAGTTGCCAGAGAGGTTGTCCATGGAGTTGGAGTGTGTCCACTGGGACAGGCGGGATTGGGGCTGAGGGGGCTCCTTAAGGGACAGACCCCCAACCTCCATGCAGTTTACATTCATGTTTGGATTCAGTCCAGCTGAACACAAAACACAGGAATCTTTTGTTAATATTTGCACAAATAAAAACAAATATTTCAAACACACAACACAACGATACACTGTTTGATACATTGTGTTGCACATACAACTATAAGACACAAGATGCAAGCATTTTGGCAATTGCACGATTTTTTTTTTTTTTTTTTAAAGAGTTGCTGATTTTTTTTTACTTCACATGACACAAAATCAGGTGCTACACAGGCTGTAATACACAATGAGGGTTCTTCTTTTATTTCTGTGTCATGGGAAAATTTGAGTTTTAAACAAAGTGACCATAGTGTAGTTCTTTCAGCCCCGTGTTGTTGCTAGAACAGACTCACAGAGAGGGTAGGTGCTGTAGGCGCTGGGCGACGACGGCGGCTCTTTGGTGTGCAGTGTATCGGCAAGGCTCGGAGCCTGGTGAGTGCCTGTGAAGGGGTCCAGGGTTGATTTGCCAGAGCCGGGGCCTCCGGCGGGGCCACCGGGGGGATGCAGACCAGTGGAGGAGGAAGAAGAAGAGGAATGAGAGGGAAGTTGTTGCTGCTTCATCAGCAGCGCTTGGTACAGCTGACGCTGGTGCTGCTGGATCTGCTGCTGCATGTTGGTGATTGTACGTGCAACCTGGGAGAGAAAAGGAGGACTGTCATAATTATGTATTTCAAAAGAAAGCACTGGGAAATATAGGCCAGGAGAGCAACAACATTAATCAAATTATGGATGGAAATAATGAAACAAAAGAAAAACAAAGAGGAAGTCGAGACAGTGGAGAATAGAAAGGAAAAGCAAGAGGAAAATAAAATGTTTCAATGTTATAGATAAAGATACGCAAGCAAAAACAAACAAAAAGAACACGCAGGGGTGGTTTGCAAAGATAAGCTTAAACAGAAAATGTTAGATAGATAAGATTTACCTATATCTTATGGATCTTGTGGGTTATTTCTAACAAAACATAATTTCTTTTACAAAAAGGAGAACAAACTATCGCCTTTTGCAAAATGGAGAAGTTGTCAGATAATGGGAAGTAACAAGTTCCTGTGTTATCTAAACGTTTCAGCAACTCCTGTTGTTACAAAGCATATTCTTTTCGCTGTTGTAATGATGTGACAAAAAAGAAGTGAAAAAAAAAAGAAGGAATAAATGAAGTTGGGTCACAATACGATGACTCATGGCCCACATGTAGTCACACACATGAAATTTTAAAAGACCTTCACGGTCATACTTTATTTGTAATGACACATTTATTGACTCACTTGCTGCTCTTGTTGTCTAATAGGGCCGGAAACATTGCGCTGCGCCTGCATCATCTGGTGCTGGATTTGTAAACGCTGGTACGCCTGAATCGATGAAGACAAATAAAGAAATACATTGATGTAAACAATAAAAAAATCTACACTCACTTTCTCATGCATTGTTAGATATCGTCATTTTTAAAAATGACATATTCATAGGAAGTAAAATCAAATTAAAAAGTAAAATCAAAAATGAAAATAAAGGTCCAGAAGACATATTCTCTCGCTCAAGCTGTAAAAGTTAAAGCTGCGCTGCAAATGCAATGCAAAGAGCGATGGCACCTCACCATTTGCAGTTGCTGAAGTTGGTACAACAGGGTCATTTGTTGAGGGTTTATTGGTGAAGTTAAAAGTGCAGGGTTCAGACCAATGTTTTTTGCTGCAAACTGCAAGAGCTGTGCTTGGACCTGAAGCGAATAGAAAAAATGGAGATGGAACAAAAGAGAGATGACAAGTTAGTCACTGCACATCACAATAACTGTACATAAAAGCACCTTCTGGCAAGATGAAACTAGCCACCGCTGCATTTGTGCAGGATAGAAAAGAAGGGAGGTGAAAGGTCTGGGAGGCAATCTTGCAATTTCAAGAGTTATGGCCACAGTATGTCAACCACATCACTGAAACTGCACATGAGTTTTTAAGTGTGATTTAAAAAAAAAAGAAGGTAAAAAGCGATCTACGCTGTGGAGATTTTAAGAGGACAAAGACGACATATTCAACAGAATTAAAATGAGTTAAAAAGCCCAAAATATACAAAATATACACGTGGGGGAAGAAAAGAATCATGTTCCTCGGCCATATCACAAAATCTTCAAGCTTTAAGCGATTGTTTATATGTGTTAGGACTTGACATAGTAGCACATAATAAATCTAATATGCATTATCATGTGTTTGACTACCTGAGGGGAGAGAAACGGAGGCACTTGAGCACGTAGACTAGGCTGGGAGGAGCTGAGAGGTGGCACTGGTGGCTGAGGAGGCTGCTGCTGCATGGCCCGGGTTTGTGCTGCTCCACTACTGCCAAACATTCCACTGGGTATCTGTATGCAGGAATCACAATGGTACAATTAAATATTCAAGAGTACTGCCATGTAATGGCAGTATAAACAAAAAAAACATCAAAACAAAAATACATAAATAAAAAAAATCTGAAATGAAGAAAAAATAAAAAGAAAAGGTGAAGTGTCTGCAATATTGCAAAATTTGATTAGGTCTAGATCACGTGTTTTACAGCAGAGCATATACTGAGGGGAAAAGGTGAGAGCAACTGTTTGTTTGATCATAAAAATGTCAGAAATTGCATTTTTTAAATTGACGAAAAACAATCAGCCTGTAAAAGCCACTTGTTCAAATTTCTAACCCCATACTGCTGAAGAGGGCTTTCCTTTCAGTTTGAAAAAAGGCTGCTTGCAGTGCCTTTGTTTGGACTTCAAGGACATCCTGTAGTTTTTCTGGGCCATGCCTGCCTCTAGGGGTGATATTTGATAGAGCATAACTATCTGGTTTCAATGGGCTCTTCAGGCAAGGTTATACACAAAAGTGAGCAACAGAAAAAGGGAGATGTGGGAAAGCATGTGAATAGAGAGATGTGTATAAAACAATTTAACACATCTTTTGTTGCTGCTACTGCAATCTGTATATGGAAATCCCACAGAGAGCACTGCAAATTAGTGGTTGTGCACAGTGATACTGTCTGTATCAGCTGTCCAAGGGTGCAAAGCCCCCCCCATACTACATATGTAGTATTTTATACTACATATATTTAAAAAAAAAAAAAGAAAAAGAAAAGAAAACCTGCTTTACCTGTCTGTTCAAGTTTTGCATGGCCAGCCCCGGGTTGCCCTGTCCCAGACCCTGCCCAGGAAGGCTACTATTGGCCAGGGGGAGCTTCAGGCTGGGGGAAGGCAAAAACGGTGATGGGGGGGTGTCGTCTGACAGGACGCCATCCTAGACCAGAGGAAAATAAACAGTTAATGAGGGGAATAAAGGCAGATGAGCGCAACATCAAACATTACACGTTGACAATGTTAATTATATGTGTGTAAAAACATTTCTTGTACTAACCAAGACATTACAATCTAAAAACCTTCCAATGTGATGTGTTAACATATCATAAAAGCTACAATCTAAGCATATAATTAGAGAAAAGCCTAAAGTTACAGTAAGGGCTCAAACCTTTCCTTTTGCTAAAGCATATAGTTAGGGCTGGATCATGTGACCCTGAATCCTCCCTTAGTTATGCTGCAATAGGTGTAGGCTGCTTGGAGAGTCCCATGATGCATTGAGTGTTTTTTCTTCAGTCACCTTTCTCACTCACTATATGTTAATAGACCTCTCTGCACTGAATCATACTTGTTATTCATCTCTGGCTCTCTTCCACAGCATGTCTTTATCCTGTCTTCCTTCTCTCACCCCAATCAGTCGCAGCAGATGGCCGCCCTTCCCTGAGCCTGGTTGTGCCGGAGGTTTCTACCTGTTCAAAGGGAGTCTTTCCTTCCCACTGTCACCAAAGTGCTTGCTCATAGGGAGTCATATGGTTTTCTCTGTACATATTATTGTAGGGTCTACCTTACAATATAAAGCGCCTTTAGGCGACTGTTGTTATGATTTGGTGATGTATAAATAAAACTGAATTGAATTGAATACCACCATGCATTTATACCCGACGTACCTTGTCGAGGAAGGCGTTGCGTTCGGAGGGGTCTTTGGAGAGTGCGGAAGGCCGACACACCAAAGGCTTGTTCATGCCATTGCTGTAATCAGACATGCCCATGCCTCGCTTGTCCAGGTCTGTTTTCTTCTCTAAAAGAGCAGCTAGAAGGAGAAGAGGTGATTGCAGAGGTTGTGAAATCTAGCCAAATAAATATATTGTGTCACTACAAAAGAGAGTTTTATTTAATCTCATTAGTGGTAAAAATATATATTTTAAAGAAAAAGGTCCCTCAGTATTCAACCAAGCGGAACTGAAGAGAATGAACTGATTTATTCAACTAAAAACAAACATCTCAGAACAGCAAGCGTAAAGACAAGGTTGACACACGAAAATGCTGGTGTACTTACTCATAGCCTGGTCAAGGTTCATATTGTTGCTCTTCAATGCCTCCTCAGCAGGGTCTCTCTGTGAAGTACAAAAACCTTGTAATTAGCATAACCAGACTGGGATTAATTTGCCAGAAGAGCTGATATTTCATCACTTGATAGTTTTTCCAGCCTGAAAAGGTTTCATTTATAATGCCCTCAAATTTTTGTTTAAGGTCACAATAACCTTTGACCATTGAAATCCAATTTGTTCATTCCACAGCGCTAGTGCATGCTTGCGCTAAATCGTAAGAAATTTCTTCCGGTGTTGAATAAATATCAAATTCCTGGTTAGAGGTCATAGTGACCTTCATCTCTGAGTATCACTTTCAGAACTGATAACCTAAATAAATGATACCTCGCAGCTAAATCTGCCACCAGCGCAGAGGCATTAAAGCAAAAATTCCAGAAGAAAGCTTGCGAGTGCTTTGAGTCTGCATTGACACTTAATTCTAAATATGCAGGGTTCATACCGGAAAGCCCATGTCAGTGAGTTGCTTGATGAGACGGTTCATAATCCAGGCCTCATCTGGCTTGTTGCCCATCTTCCCCTGAAAACAAAGAAGCAAAAATATTATGAATTCAACATTACATGATGTTTCCAAGGTCATAAATGCCACTGTGACAGGCGAGTTCACTGACCTTGTTTGGGCACTTCTTGGGTCCATTGCTCCAGGAGTTACAAGAAGAGCTGCTCTCCTGGGGGGTTGGGCTGTTCCATACATCCCCATCCTCAGTGTCCCATTGGCTGGTAGACATGCCCATCTCTTCCCCTCCATTTCCCCAGCCATCTTGCATAGGTTTGGGGCCTGAAAGAAAGGGATGGGAAATATAGGATTAAGTTGTGAGGAATAAAAGAAAAAAAATCTTCAGTGCATTACTCGATACTATGTGTCCTCTATATTCACAATACCATTTCAGAAGCTGAGCAGCACGTAACTTTAAACACAGCCACTTGGTGCCACTGTTGCTACATGCCAGTCTGCACTTTCTCCCTACACCTCCCCTCTATCGTTTCCAACATTTAAAACCAACAGCACAAATAACCAAGCTCCACTGAGGCGTGGAATTGCTTTAATCCAAGCAACACTCCAGCAGCACTAACAAAAACTTTCAAAACTGGCACAAACGGTACAGTTCTGTAGAAACTTCCCGTTTGTGTTCCCTAACTGAAGTGTGCTGTGCAAACATATTATGGAGCTACTGCCATAAACAAAATAGTGAACCCAAAGCAAACCAGTGCCTAAGTTGACAATTGTGTTCACAGGTTAAAGCAGAAAAACAGTAATTTTGTAAGTCTGAACTAATTGATGGCACTGAATATAGCACTGGTGGTATCAGTTAATCAACTCCTATTATTAATATCCAGCATTAACAATAAATTCTGAGTGTTACCTGGCTTGCAAGGTGCAGAACCTGGGGGTCCACTTCCCCTGCCATAGGGGCCAGAGGACTCATGGCCACCGTCTCCCCATCCTCCTACCCCACCTGGGGGCTTGCCCCAGGCTGAGGTACCATTGTCCACAGCTGATGTTGGAGCTGCTGGCTCTCCCCAAGCAGGTTCTGACTTGGGCTGAACACTTGGAATCTCCCCCCAGCCTGGAAGAAAGGGCAATTAATTAGTTAAAAGAATGAAATCAGCTTCTTTACAGCAGAAATTTTCATCAATTTTAAAACATCATTAGTTAATCCTCTTATGTGCTTCCCTGAAAACAAATGGAATAATACCACTGTTCCCATCACGGCCAGCATCACATAGCATGAAGGTCTAAAGAGACTAAGGCTTTAGTGACATATCAATAAGTGATAGTAACCTTTTCTATTGTATGCTGTGGTTTTTTATAATTATATGCCTTTCACCACCCCAGCCTGCCAAGCTGTGTCTATGAATGTGTAGGTGAATGAGACAAGACAAAGCAAAGCAGCAGATTAGGAAAAGCCTAAATTAATGACATCAGCAGAAATGGGCAGCTATTTGGCTTAAATGTGTTTTGGAAGTGTTCATGATGCTCCTTAGTCACTGCAGCACAAATTGCAGACAGCAGATGGCAGTGGTCTCATTCACAATTAAAACTGTTTGCCATTAAAGCTTTGGCAAATATCTATGCTTCACAGGGCTTTTGTTTTTCAAAGACTTACTAGATCTTGTGAAAGTGCAAACTTAAATCTACTATTAAATGCTGATGACAACTGTGAAGATTTTAACTTCTCTGAGAGCAAAAACAGTCACTTTGTAAATTTTTCAAAGAAATTATTTTTGAAAGGAAGGACCATAGTTCCCAAGCTTGTTATAATTTTCTCATTTTATGGGAACAGGTGAAAACAAAATCTCTTTGTCTTTGTCTGTCTCCCTGGCTTGTTAACAGACAAGAAAATCAGTATCCCTTGAATAAAACACACATATGCTGTTAGAAAGAAATACCCACTTTTGTAAAAGTCAGTTTGAAATTTTTAAACATTTCATTGAATATAGTATGGTGGGAGACTACAAGATCAGAAATCAAATTTTAATTCATTTTTGAATTTCAAATACTACTTGAATGTTAAGCAAAATAAGATTTTAGGTCATTAATGTCTAAGTCTTTTAAATACCTGGGTTGGAGTGGGTGGGTCTGCCTTGGGGCCCCACACTTGGATGTGATGCTGCATTGTTGGGCGACCCATTGTTGTTTCCATGGTGTTGCAGGTGAGTTGGGGGCTGGCCATGATGAGTATGGTGGTGCATATGGTGAGGGTGAGAGTGATGGTGATTGTTGTTGCCAGGTCCAACGGAGTGATTGTTGTTGTTATTGTTGGGAATAATCATTCCACCATTCTTACTTGGAGGGGGGCCGCTGTTGCCTGGGTTACTAGTGGGATTGTTACGATCCCACATGTTGACTGTCTTGTTGTAGGCACTGGGATCCCCCCAGGTAGATGTTCCATCGTCAATCTCCATCTTCCTACGAATGGAGGGAGGAGAGGGCTCTTCCCAGCCAGTAGGCTCCATACCTTGGTCCTGTTTGCTGACATTACCCCAGCTAGAGTTGTTCTGCTTCACAGAACTGGGACCTCCCCAAGAACCAATACTTCCACCTCCTCCACTACCAGTGCTGCTGCTGCTGCTTTCTTGTGGCTTGGAGGAGCCCCAGCCACCCTGCACTGGTCCATTGGTCCGTGAGGTCTCCCCCCAGCTGCTATTACTCACAGCAGGAGTTTTGCCCCAGCCTCCTCCATTTGCTCCTCGAGGACTTTCCTTCCATCCACCATTTCCTCCGTTACTTCCTTCTCCTTCCCACATGCTGCTAGAGGAACCATTATTCTTGATGTCTGGCTCTCCCCATTCCCCTGTGGTGGAGCCATTAGAACCACCATTATTGTTGCCCCACTTATGGGCATTTTTGGGGCCTTCTCCCCAGCTAGTAGGCTGGTTTTTCACTAGGCCATTGTCCCAGCTGGATGACTTGTCCTCTGATCCCCAGGATGAGGTACCCCCATTCTTGGGACCACTGGAAGGCAAAGGATCTCCCCAGCCACTAGTAGTGCCATTTGGAGCTTTACTGAGTGACTGTGGGGGGTCACCCCATCCTGATCCTGTCTGGACTGGCTGAGATGCTGGAGCTCCCCACCCAGAAGATGAAGATCCTTCACTGTCACTTTTCCCTCCAGATCCAGGCCTCTGAGCAATGGTAGGAGTTATGGTGCCATTGGTAGATGAGGGTCCGCCATTGGAGCTGGAGGCTCCTATGGTGTCTGAGCTGCTACTGCTCTTTCCATCATCAGAGTTTGCTTCTTCCATCTCCCATACAGTGTTCTGTCGGACGGGGGTCTGTCCCCAACCTGTGTTACTCAGGACTCTAGGGTCAAGGTCTTGCCGTGGTAGCAAAGGGGCAAATTCCATGCTGGAGGATCTGTCTCTACGCTGGGATCGACCTTCACTGCTGTCTCCGCTGTCCTCACTTGCTGGGGCTGTTCCAAGCTGCTGGCCCCAAGAGCTCAGTTGCTGGTCTTGGCCTGAGCCAGAACTACCAGCATCTATGTTGTCCCAACCTTTAGTTGCTTCTCCACCGCCAGAGGATTTTCCCCAATCACCCCAGCCACCACTTCCACTACTCCCACCACCACTGCCTTGGCGACCCCAAGCAGAGAGGCCTCCAGATGTTGTTGAGTCCCAGCTGGAGTCCTTGGGGGAGTCAGCTGCCTTGGTTTCTCCACTACCCCATACAGAGCTGCCGGTTGTATCCCCATTGAGCTGGGATGACTCAGTGGGTGACTGGCCTCCCCAACCAGTTAAACCATGGATAGGGCTCATAGGCTCCTGAGCTTGTTGTTGTTTAGTGTGGTTTGGTCCATCAGTGTTAAGGTTAACAGGCTCTATATTGAAGGACAAGTTTGTGTTGGTTGAAGGGTGCTGTTGCTCATTTTCTGTAGCACTCATCATGCCAACCCAACTTCCCCCACCGTTATCAGCACCTCCCATGTTCCCATTTCCTAAATTTCCATTGCCATTTATGCCTGGTGGAAGGGATGAAGAGCTGGACACCCCACTGGTACCACCTCCAACACTCTCATGGCCCAGAACAGGCCAGGCTGAAGGGTTGGCATTTGGGTTGAGATTCAAGTTAAAATTGGAAGAGCCCCAGTTATTGGGTGCTCCAACTCTGCCACTATTCATACCATCTTGTTTACCATCTGAAACCCAGCCTCTATTACCTACTAATGCGTTGGTTGATCCAGGTCCTGTCATCATGTTATTGTTAGCTTTGAGAGAGGGGTAGTGGGCCTGCTGGCCTGCTGCGCCTGTGGCCATACTCACAAAACTACTCCTACTGGTAGTAGTGACAGCACTGGTGTCTAGGTTAGAGCTGGTGGAGCCCGAGGGGCATTCTGGTGTTACAGGGTTGCAGGGGTCACTACTGCGGCTGATGGAGGGCCAAGCTTCTGTATCACTCTTGTCAATAATCACTTTGTCCCAGCTGTTGGCACTTGATGGGCTGTCAACTGGTACAGAGGCTCCCCAATAAGAGATCTCATACTGGGCACCAGGGCCACACTGGAGGGATATGTCTAAAGAGAAAAAAAAAAAA